CCACCCCTCAAAAAACGTACATCACTTATAATAGTTAAACAAACCGCCTAAACGTCACATTAGTGTAGCCTATATAATATGTAAAGTTTAGTATACTCTAATATCTTATAGTGATGGCACACGACGAGACACACATTCGGCATGTAATGCTGTTTGAAAACAAGAAGGGAAACAACGCCTCTGTACCCACAAAGAATATCAAAGAAGTTCATGAAAAATGTTTTGAACGTTCGTAACTGTCAACGATGATTCAGCAAATTTCATTCAGATGACTTTAGTCTTAAGAAACTGTGGTGGCAGGGGCCGACATGTTGGACTTGATATTGATGCTCTGAAGACGCTAGTTGAGTCTAATCCAAAGCAACACACCCATGAATTGGCCCTGAAATTTGATGTCTCTCATAAAACAATACGTAAAAATCTAAGGAATATGTGAAAACTCCATAAAGAAGGTGTTTGGGTGCCTCACGAACTCTCCGATGATCATCGTTTCCAACGTGTGAACACTGCTTCGTCTCATTTTGGCGCGTAATGCGCGTGAACCATTTTTAGACAGAATTGTCACTGGTGATGAAAAATGGATTCTCTTTGCGAATATTAAACGCCAAAAACAATGGCTCAGTCCTAGACAAAAATCACTTCTGACCCCAAAACCTGGACTCCATCCGCAGAAAGTGATGCTTTGCATTTGGTGGGACATCAAAGGAGTAATTCATTTTGAACTCCTCAATCCACAGAGAAAGTTCTATAGTCAGCAACTGGAATGTTTAAATCAAGCCCTTCATCAGAAACGCCCTTCACTTGTCAATAGAAAAGGTGTTCTTCTTCTCTACGGCAACGCACGTTCATATGTGGCACATTTGACGCAACACAAGATTATAGAGTTGGGTTGGGAAGTTCTCCCCCACCCACCATATTCTCCAGATCTGTCACCATCAGATTACCATCTTTTTTGTTCGCTGCAACACCATCTCAATAGGAAAACGTATGCAAATGTGGAAGGTGTTAAAGAGGATATCTACATGTTTTTTGCTTCAAAGCCAAGTGATTTCTTTAATCAAGGCATGAACAACCTGACTGTAAGATGGAAAAGCATCATCGATAAGAATGGAGACTATTTCATTTAATAAATGTTTTGTTTTGATATATATATAAGTGGTTTTGGTTTTTTCATCTAGAAAAAAGCGAC